ATCAAAAATTCATGGGTGGGTTTTGATTGGTAAAACTCTTCCCATACCATATCTTTTCCGCATCATAGATTTTCCTCAATTCATTATATTTGGATATATATGAATATGCTCCTATCCGATCCAGTATTTTCATATTATCAATAACCTAGGTGGTCTAACCATTTGAATCATCACTTGCCTTTAACGTTGGTTTGGGTTAGCCTCAAACCCGCCAATTGGTTAATAACTATTGACTTGATAAAAAATCGTTGACTTGGGCAATTGATCCACCAAACCATTTGGCCCAAGCAATGGGTCATAGGTCACAAATTACTATATACATAGGATGATAGAAAGCTTCTCATGGCCATAACTTTGCACTTAGGGGGCGCTCGTTTTTAGGATTTTGAGAGGGAGAAAGTTGGTCAAACCCATATTTTGCATATAATTATATTATATGCAAAATATAATTATATATAAATGCATATGCTTGTATAGTTATATATGTATGTATGCACATAATTTGTTTTTTTGCTAAATTATCATAGTAACATGCATATAAGTAAATTAATTTTGTTCATGAAATACAGTATCAAAGTCATTTTTAATTCATTTTACTAATGGTATATAATATTTTGATAATCTTTATTCAATATCCATTTGTGATCCCAATTCAATTCAAACCCGATATAAATCAAACAGATAAAATCTAATTCGAATTCGAACAAAAAAAAAATCAAGTTTGAATCTATGATATGGGCTTTCTGCATGCATGTGGCAGGTTTTAGACCGTTTGTCAATACACTTTCCTCACTTCCTGGGCATTTTGTTTCCTTTGCTTTGGAAGTTCCTTTCAAAAGAAGATGATGGATTTGGTTGACAATCTTCCTGGAACATAACCAACTGTAATGTTTTCTCTATATGCGTAATGCTAACAAGAAGATCCAAAATGGGAGCTACAAAGTGATGGTCCTCGTCTTCTTGGGCCCCCACTAGAGCCCATCCTTTGCCTCCGGCAGCCTTATTTTGTTAGTTGGTAAACAGTCTTATATGCCTAGATACATTATTGAGGAGATGTATGTGGCCATAACACTGTTCTGTTGTTATTTGGGCAGTCTGAACCAGAAGGGGAATCAGGAGATTTTTTTTGGGGGAGGAGAGATCGTAATTTGCAAAGGAATTGTAGCTTGTAGGACCCACCGAAGAAAGGACACCTTCTGCCCCTTCTTGGAACAAGCAATGTACCACAGCTTCCCAACCAAGTAGTCTGGTTGAACCAGTATCACATCTCCCAAGATTAATAAAGTTTTAGTGTAATTTTCAATATTTGATATTTAAGCTCTGTTTGTTTGCCAGGCAAATCCAAACTGATGGCAAAATCTGTACCTGTTTGGATTTGCGTGCATTTGCTTGTGACAATAATTTGCATCCCTATTCAATGCAAAGTTTGCACTTCTTTGTCTCATTTGTAATTATCGATAATGCAAATCTTATGTACCAATGGACTGATGCACAATTTGCACCTTCTTTCTATCTTTGTTTTTACACATATAATTTACTTTCCATTTTACTCCTCCGGCTCAATTTGGAAGGGTACAAATATAAATATGTACCATATAAATACATATAAAATAATATAAAATATAAGGTTTTACACTAATTATTTATATTTATACTCCTTCCAAACTGAGCTTCCCAGACAAACAACTTTCTTCCTATCTTGGTTTCTTCTCTTACAAACCAAGGGCCACATCAGGTTTCCATTTTACTCCTAGACAAACAAAACAAAGTAAAACCAGGCCATATGCATTCTCATGCATCTGTGCTCCACAAACAAATGGAACCTTAATTCCAGTTTCCAGAGTGCTGAAAAGGAAATATATAGATAAAAAAAAATTATATGATGTGAAGTAAAAAATGGAGAAGAAATAGGAAAAGTTATAGTTGTTTAAATGAGGTATTATTAAAAAAATGAGGTATTATTAAAAACAAATAAAGATGAAAATGAGATAAAAAATAGGAAAGGTAAAAAGAATTTCAATTACACAAGGTTGAAGTTCAAGTACAAGAGTGAGTGGAAATTAAATGCATCCATTGATTAAATATGGACAAGACAGATGATGGAAATTAAAAAAAAAAAAGCATATCATGTGATAGTTTTTAATTTTAATAAAGGCTGATGTGTAAATGTTTAAATGGGGTCGTAGGGAATTGCTATGACCATAATTTCTTTTGAAACACTCAAACACCAAACAACTAATCACTATATATTGATTAAGTTGTGGTATTTTATTTAATTAATGTAGACCGAAAGAACTTTCTCTTCCTGTTTTCAAGGTTACCCAGTCAAGTTTGAAGTGAAATATTTTGCCAAACTAGTCTCATGATTCAAAAGGTGGCTTATGCTGAGTGGACAATTTTGGGTTAAGACAAGGTTCCTAAATCATCCTATTGGTTTGTACTAGTCTATTCTTTTTGCTTATTTGGTTTAAATAAAAATCAGAATTAGAATTAGAATTAGTTGGAATGAGATTATCGATCATTTCTAAAAGAGGGGAGGAAATGATTATTTCCTCAAATAGAAGAATACCATTCCACCAGAAATGAGAATAGAATTCCAATTCAATTAAATCAAATGGTTGAATCAGATTTTAAATCCCTATTTCTACAAATCAAATTGCTCGAAAATTCTCATCATTTATTTATTATTTTTTTTTTCTACTTAGATCACAAGAATTGATGAACTAGCTAGTGGAAAACTAGTAAAGTCAAATGATCCAATGTGCGTTGTGGTTCAATCTTAATAAATTGCTTGCAAAATGCCAATTCCTCCATCTCTGTAGTCCATAGTCCATATACAAAAAGATGCTTCTTTAAGCTATCCTTTCACGTGGATCAAAAAGTTGTAAGCATTTCTTTTTGTCCTACTGCCACCAAATGACCATATATATATATGGTAATGCTGATTGCTTCAGCCGTAGTTAAAGTTTATGCGTTTTTAAAGTGGTTTTCAAGATGGGACACTGGTGTTATACAATATGAATATTTCCAATTTCATTTTTTAGCAGAATAAATGAAAATTACCTTGCTTAACTTGTGATTTATGGAATCAAATTTGGAATACTTTTCATTCCTAAAACCGATATTCCCCTTGTGATGCTTTTGAAATTATGAAACTGATTTTAATGCGTAGTTCAAAAAATTTATTGAGATACAAATATGTACAGTATAAATCTATACAAATTAATATAAAATATAAGGTTTTACGCTCTATATATTTGTGTTTGTACTCATTCCAAATGGAGCTTATAGGGAAGTCTAGGGCTTACAAAAATGAACATTCTCTCCCCTAAATTTATGGGCTCTTTTTTTGGTAAGTTTCACCCTTCAAATTCTCTCCGCTAAATTTGAAGTGATACACGCAATCAACATTTTAAAAAATGACTCAGAAACGGAACTGTTATGATCATCGGTTTTTGGGTTGGCGGCCCGATTATCCGGTTCAAATGAATAGCCTATTCTGACAAATAAATAAATAAATTAATTAAAAATAAGAAACGGTAAAAAAAATTGTTAAACGGGTCAACAGGTTATTGACTTTTTTAATAATTTTTTACCAAAAACCAGATTTTGAATAAAACAGAACCGATTGTTTGGATGGTTCCTAGGCCGAACGGTCCATCCGTTTGGATCAACAGCCGTTCGAAAACCTTGTACACAATTGATACTGGCTATGGTTACCCCGTGAGGGTACACAATTGATAGTGGATAAACACAATTGATAGTGGTTATGTAACTACCCCGTGAGGGTAGGTACTGGTAATGGTGAGAACCCAATTGAATGTGATGCATCAAAAGAAAACGATAACCATCCCAAATTCCCAATCAGAAGTTTAAAGATCGTCAAGAACAAATAAAGGTTATCATTCCCGTTATTTGTTATTCTGATTTGTCTTGGTTTTTTGCTTGGTTATAGGGCTTGTGGCTCGTTGTATAATTTTTGAGGGTCAGATCTTATACCCCTTTTTATGATCTTTAATAAAACCATTTTATTTTCTTTTTTCTTAAAAAAATCATTTATTCATATAGGAGGAAAATTCACCAAATTATATAGGATTAAAAATGCTACAAAGGTTATTTTGAAAAATTGTTTCATTTGTCCACCTAACATTTCTTAGGAAAATGATATAGATGAATGCATTTGCCCAATACAAGATAACACTTCTCCCGGTAAATGCATTTACTTAATAAACAACTTCACTACAAAAGAACGGGACTTAACTATGAAATAATCCCATTCAAGAATGCAATTACGGTCTTGCCAATTTAGGCTGCTAATGAAATTAGGAATCCTTTAAGGGAGTGTTCGACCACATGAATGATTTTATTTTTAAAAATAAAAACAATTGCCACAACAATAAAATTGTATTATTTTTGCTAATGTGACAGTTATTTTTATTTTCATAAACAAAACCAATATTTTGCTGATATATCAATTATTTCTGTTTTCAAAAATAAAACCAACCATATTTTCCAACACCCTTGAATTGGTCATGGAATCACTTTCTTGGTTCTTTACCGGCAACAAGTTCCCGATTTTGGACCACACGGCATAGTTTCTGTAATGGGCCAACAACTCATGAGACTTGGCCCAGGCCCAAAGCCTAACATGTGGGGCCCAGATTGCGGATTCTGTACGTCTGTAACCGCATTAACAGTTCATTAAAAGATGAATATGATGATTGTTCATTGATGACAAGATGTGATGACATTAATAATTTTGATTTTACCACCCCAAACATGCCCCAGTGTGAAATCTGAACTTCAGTTTTTTTTAACCGACGAATGAAGTTGAGATTTTTTGGCGTGTTTCATCCGCTATTTGCTTCCTTTCTTTGTAGAGACTGGAGAGAAAAAAAATAGGAATGATTTCTTCTTTTTAGTTATTTAAAAAAAAAAAAGTCTGAGGATAAGGATTCGGTCGTATTAAGTAAACCCCCGAAGAGACAGCGTAGTTTTGTTGTCCAAAAAATAAGTTCTAGTTCAACGGGACCCACTTGCCATCTGGGAAAATTCAGCTGTTATTCTCCAATTTCTTATCGTTGAAATTTCCTTCGCAAGATCTGCTTCTTCTTCTACTCTCTCAACACAACAGCGGTGCGTTCCAATCTTTCTCTTGTTGTTCTGTGGAGAGGAAGAGATACAGGGAGGGAAGAGGACGAGAAGATGTATTACAGAGATCTAGCAATTTTCATAAACAGGTATACTTGTTTATCTTTTGCTTTGAATTTTAATTCCAGTTTTCTTTTATTTTTTTCTTGGGATTTATTTTCTTCCCCTTTTCGTGGGTTTTAGTGCAATTCTTTTCTCCTTGTTTTCTTACACTCTCTTTTGTGGGTAGATGTTTAAAGTTTTCTTTCCTTCGAAGATCTTGCCATTTCTGCTTTTAGGTATTGAATTGGTTGGTTGGATTAGAGCAAAGTTTTGTCTGCCTCTGTTTCTCCGGTCCGACATTTGTTTCCAAATTGATTGTTTCATTAAATTTTCCATGTTCTAATTATAGTAGATTTGTTTTCCGTTTTGTTTTCTAACAGCATTTCTGTCTTTATTTGTTTTAGAGTCATTTTCTTTCACTTAGATCATAAATGATGTCTTATTGTAGTTGGGCTCGTGATATTTATTAGAAAGATGGTTCCTTTGAACTGATTCGGACAAGGAGATGGGGAAGAAAGGTAACTGGTTTGTTGCACTGAAGAAAGCTTTCAGCCCTGAACCCAAGGAGAAGAAAGATCAGGTATGGTGGTTTCCATTTCTTTCCTAGTTTTTGCTTATTGGGTTTCCTCTAATTTTGAATAGCGTTCTGATTGAAGTCATTAAACCATCTTTCTGTTTCTATTCCTCATGTTCTCATCCAGAAAACTAGTAAATCTAAGAAGAAATGGTTCAAGAAAGAGAAACACTCGGATCCCTCTTCCTCCGCAGTTGAAGCTACTGCGGCGCCTCCTCTGCCTCAATGTCCTACTCCCCCTCCCCCTCCCCCTCCTCCTGAGGAAGTAAAACTAACCGAAGCAGAGAATGAACAGAGCAAGCACGCATACTCTGTTGCACTTGCCACTGCTGTGGCCGCTGAGGCTGCCGTTGCTGCTGCTCAGGCCGCTGCAGAAGTTGTTCGCCTCACAGCGGTGACACGGTTCTCTGGCAAATCAAAGGAGGAAGTGGCGGCTATCAAGATTCAAACGGCATTCCGAGGATACCTGGTACTGGCGCAGTTTCTGTGAACTCAAAGTGTCCTTTTCCGTTCCTATTTCTTTCATTTGTCTAAGGATTTGTTATTATTATTATTATTATTATTATTATTATTATTATTATTATTGTACATTCTCCCACAGGGATTCGTCCAAAAGGTCTCTTAATTTGTTTTTGAGATCTTGAACAGTCTACTTTTTAATCATCCTTTCAAAGAGATCAATATATTACACGAAACTACATATGCTTGTTTTGTAAACTCATGAAGGTTTCATAAATTTTGTTTGGATTTGCTTGCTAAGTTGCTATGGCTTAGTTTGGAAGGAGTACATTACAAATACATACAAAATAATAGAAAATATAAGATTTTGTACTCTACAAATTTGTATTTGTACTCCTTCCAAACTGAGCCTATATGTACTATGAATCACAATCGGTTGTTGTTCTTGTACTTAAATTTTAGACCAATCTAAAGCATCTCCTAGGTGTTTGTGGAAGTGCTCGTGAAAGATTAGGAACTTACTCTCCTCTGGTATTTTGTCAGCTATATTCAAGCGAAATTAAGATCCCTTCATTGTATCAGCTATCATTGATATAAATTTTGTTCTTTTTGTGGATATGTCTAACAATATGCCAGCTATTTTGTGCACTAAGCATTCATGCCTTGGATTTTTCTTCTTAAAGACAGAGGGGGTGGGGATAGAATGCAAGGGAAAGGAAATTATTTCTTTGTTCTTTATTTTATTTTTTATTTTATGTTGATATCAAGTGTATTGTTTAATGTCTCAATGGGGTTGTTTTTTGTTACTTTTCCAGGCAAGGAGAACATTGAGGGCCTTGAGAGGGCTTGTTAGGTTGAAAACATTGATAAATGGAAATGCAGTTAAACGTCAAGTTGCAACCACTCTACAATGCATGCAGACCTTAGCCCGTGTTCAATCTCAAATCCGTTCAAGGAGGATTAGGATGTTGGAAGAGAACCAGGCTCACCAGCACCAACTCCAGCAGAAACGTGAAAAGGAGCTTGCGAATTTGAGAGCCTCTGTATGTACCATTTTTTTCTTTTCCTTTTTATTCTTCAGATACTTTTGGTTGTGTGTCTCTTCTAATCTTCTTGTCTAAGGGATTCTGGTCAGATTATTTTTAGGAAATAAAGTATTAGCAATGTGGCAAAAACATTTTTGGGGCGGGGGCTCTTCAATTGCTTCTGATTTGGAAACCATTTAAAACTTTTCTTTACCTAGATATTTTTCCCACATCTGCATTGAATGCTAGGCACCTGCTTGGTGATAGGGGTGTCAATTGGACTGGATTGGGTCCAATCCGATCCAGTCCAGTGTGAGTCCATTATAAATGGACCAGGTCCAATCCAATCCAATGAATGTTTTGGACCAATTTGGACTGGTCCAATTCAATGTCTGGACCGTCCAATCTGTTCAAATTCATTTTGATCTAGATTGGTTTCAACCCAAACCCGGTCTATTGACACTTATATTCTTATCTTACATCAATGGACCAGATATTGGCTTAATCCAACCCAATCCAATATCAATTTGTTATGGATGGACCATGTCCAATCCAATCTAATAAATATTTTGGACCGGATTGGTCCAATCCAACATGTCTTGTTGGTCCGTCCAATCTGTCCAAATTGATTTTGGACTGGACGGGGCCCAATCCAAAATTGGTCCATTGACACCCTTACTTGGTAATGACACTTTTATTGGGACTATTAGTGTTTTAGGCTTGGTTGCTCTTTAGATAAAGAAGTATCAACTTACATCCATTCAACTTTTGGAACTTTACAGCTGAAGATGGTTTTCATTTCTCTATCACCCTCTTTGTTGCAGATTTTAACCCATGATACTCAGATACTTGTACATGCCTAGCGTACCAGTATCATATCCAATGCTTATCAGATATGATACTGGATACTGAATGAATACTTTTGGATGTACTCTATAGCATTAAAATTTTTAAAATATGTAAAATGGTATGTTTTAGCAAATTATACTATAAGAGTATCAGCACATGTTAGAAAATTAGTCAAATTTGGCAAGACATAAGTATCGAGAAATGGATTTTAGCTTTAAAAACTAGATATAAATGCATGATATCAACATATTACATAGGATACATGCATCTTTATCTCTGTCCAAGATTTTAGGAAATGGAGAGTTGTCTCCCTATTTCCTGTATCCATATGTGGTCTGTACCCATATCTAGGCATTAGAGGTTTTAACCCGACCTATGCCAAATGGCAAGAAAAGTATTAGGAGCTGTTTGATGACATCTGAAATGGTTGTTTGATTACACGGGGGCTTGTAGGTGAATTGTTAAAAGTGGTTAGTATGAATAATTTTCCAGCATTACTGCTATTCTTTGTACTCCCACACCTACCTGTTTTGATGGTGGGTGTTGCATAGACATGGACATGGCCACACGGGAGTTGGAAGATGATGCTGGTACAAGAGTATGACTTGGCATGACAAGAAAACATGGACTGACAGACACATTTATAGAAAAGTATATAATATTAAAATAGTTTTTTTTTTTTTTTTAATTCTGATATTGCATACTTAAAAAATGGGCTTACAGTATTGTTTTTGTTACCAAAAACATTTAATATGAAAATAATGTTCATCTTGTACATTAGATGTTTATTTATGTCAAATAAGCCAGGGGATAAAGTGGAAACTTTACATGGAAGTAACCCTGAAGAATCCCTGGAGTGTCAGAATCCGGAGCATATTTGACACAGAAACATCGTCCATGAAACACTGTTTGCATGTATTGCAATAAAACTTTTTACTGTTATTCATAAAAGACAGCTAAAATGGCTGAATTAAATGACTTATTTCTTTGTCTTTTAGTGACCAGTTAATGGCTGGAACTGAAGTTAGGTTGATTACATTACTTTTAAATATTTCTTATTTAATTATTTTATCCACTAAAAGAGAGAACAATAATCATTCAGTTCAGCCACTTCAGCCATTATGAAATGATCCTTACTTTCACCTTCAGTTATATTTAATTTGTAGAATATTCAATTGTTGTGGTTAAGACAACTAGACACGTGGATGATTCAGAGGGTTCCTTATCAGTTGGAATGGTGGATGTCTGACAGATCCAGTGGCACCTCATCAGATGGAGGGTCTGGATCTACCAGACTTCCCACCATGTGAGCAAAGCTCCCTGTATGGATATAGCTTTTTATGTTTTTATTAGGTTTGCTTTCTCAAGAGATATTCATTTGTGAATTTCTATTTACCTTGGGTCCCATGTTTAGGCATTTCTATATTATATAGCTGTAGATTCATGAATGTTATTAGAACAGACATAAAACAGATGCCAGGAAGCTCTTGTTTGCTATGTAACTTACTGCTTCTATGGTAAATTCTTGTCAATCTAATTTTCATGTACTTCTCTGTACTCTGCAACAGATGGGAGAGGATTGGGATGACAGCCTGCAATCCAAGGAACAAATCGAATCAAACTTATTGAGCAAGCAAGTGGCTGCTATGAGAAGAGAAAGATCCCTTGCTTATGCATTCTCTCACCAGGTAAGCTCTACCTATGTTTTCTTACTCTTGTTCTCCAAGTGTAGGTTTCATATCTCTGATTTCTCATCTTGTCTAAACATTGTTTGAAATGATAAACAAGAGTTGGGATTTGGGAAACTTGGTGAACATGTGATGTTTGTGATTTAGCATGGGTTAAAGGGTGCCAAGGCCTGGTTGAGTTTTCTCTAAATTTTTATGATATAGTATTGGCTTCATTGAGTCATAAAATCTTTTATGGAAAAAGGAGTATAGACCAAAAAGGACTTGAATTCTTGAAGTTTGTCAAATTTCTTAACATTCAGTCATGTCTCTTGCATGGCATATTTTACCTGTAAGAAGAGCAAGCTTATTTGCCCAGTTCATAATTTAACAATGGGCAGACCAAAAATATGGGTAACAAATGATTTAAGCACTCATAATTTAATAATGGATATGGCACTAAACATAACTGAATGGGGGAAACAGGATTCATGTAGCCCACCACATATAGCTGGGATAAGACACAGATGATGATAATGATGAATCAAATTCTCTGTTTCACAAACTTCAGAGTTACTATATCATATGTATAACCCAGTATGGTGTCTCTGCAGCAAACATGGAAGAATTCTTCAAGATCTGTAAATCCAACATTCATGGACCCAAACAATCCTCACTGGGGATGGAGTTGGTTAGAACGATGGATGGCAGCCCGACCATGGGAGGTTCGAAGCATGGCAGAAAAAGAACTGAACGACCATGCATCTGTAAAAAGTGCAAGCCACAGTGCTGGAGGAGAAATAAGTAAAGCTTATGCTCGTCGTGACCTTAATGCTGAAAAGTCTTCACCAAAAGCCCCAAAACCAATCCGCCCTGCCAGCCGACAATCCCCATCAACTCCCCCTTCCAAAGCACCATCTTCATCTTCAGTAGCTGGGAAACTGAAGAAAGCAAGCCCAAGGGGAAATTTGTTTGGCCAGGATGATGACTCAAGGAGCATGCTCAGCATACAGTCAGAGAGGCATCGGCGGCACAGTATTGCAGGCTCATCAGTGAGAGATGATGAGAGCCTGGCAAGCTCTCCATCTGTCCCAAGCTACATGGCACTCACTGAGTCTGCCAAGGCTAAGACCCGGTTGCAGAGCCCATTGGGGCTAGAGAAGAATGGAACAGGAACCCCAGAGAAGGGATCAGCTGGGTCTGTGAAGAAGCGGCTGTCTTTCCCAGCTTCCCCGGCAGGGGTGAGGCGACATTCAGGTCCACCCAGGGTAGACAGCAACTCCATTAAAGACATTGGTGTACCTGCAGAAAATAGTGTGAGCAATGGAGGGAGCAGATAGTGCTTGTTCAATGGGAGAACATAAGACAAGACGTGTACGTTCATGGGTTAGGAAGGGGTCCCAAGAAGAGGAAAAATAGGAAGTGTAATTGGCTATGGATATGTACTACTTTAGAGCTCATATTTATTGTGTAGTTGGGTCTGGTTTGGGTGAAAAACTGAAAACTAGTCTCCCTCTACTGGAGTCTGTCTATGACTAGTTAATCTCTTTTCAGAGGTTTCGTCCTTGTTTTTGTTCTGTTTCCCTCATTATGTTGTTTGTGTTCCCTTGACACTTGGACGGGAACCCAATTCTTTGTATTGATTGTGACTCCAGACAAACGGCTGTGGTTTTGTTCCTTCGTTTTTCTCCATGTTCTTATTCGCTTGCTTGAAATCTTGAATAGAAGGAATCCATTTGTTGTAACAGTATGTAACTATGTATAGTATTACCCTGCATGGCTGATGGGTTTGTTGACCTGCGTCCTTTTTTCTTATTGCAGAACTTTAAATCCTTTTTATCTTAATCAATTTGCAATCAATTCAAATAGCCCACCCAGGGCAAAAAAAAAAAAAGGGGGACGATATCGACAATAGCCTGGGTCAAAATGGCTTCTTTTTTCTTAAAAATTCTCTCCATCATCTTTCCTCCTTAGGCTGTGTTTGGAAACGATGCAAGTAAGTGTGAATGCAAATATCTAGAGTGTAAAAAGGGTTCATATAAATTGTAAAGTTGGGTTAGTTTTGCATTGACAAATTTGTCTTTTTACTAAATAGATTTTTAACTGTAATGGATGCAAACACTAACTCCAATAAAGCATATGACTTTTTTTTTATTAAAAACCCACTTGAATACAAATTTAGGGTCCGTTTGGTTTGCAGGAATAGGGGTCTGGGATTGGAATCAGAACAGGCTATTCCGATTCCAACTGTTTGGTTGGGCGGAATCAGAATCCCATTCCCATTCCTACTGGAATGGCATTCCCCCATTTGAGGGAATGGCCATTCCTTGCTCCTCCCTTGGGAATGAAATCCCATTCCTATTGATTTTAATTCCCGTTTTCATTCTTGTCTGAACCAAACAGACTATGGGAATGGACCATTCCGATTTAGATTCCGATTCCGATTCCAATTTCAATTCTGACTATGAACCAAACAGACTCTTACTTCTTTTTTATTGATGTACTTTTACATCTTATTATCAATGTAAATATGCATTGGAAAATGTATTTCTTGTTATTTGTCGGTGCATAAATATAATGTTGCCAAACACACTCAAAAACTCAAAAACAAACCATAGTGCAAATTTACCCTGAACTAGCATTTTATACTCTATTTGCATCGTTTACAAACGCAGCCTTATGGTCTTATATTGGTTTTCTTTGTTCTTTTAACTGAATAAGGGTGTTTAAATTCAGTTATCAAAAATAAAATCGAACCAAATTAAATAAATCAATTCGGTTTGATTACTTTGATTTTTGGTTTGGTTTAATTTAAGAAAAAAAAACATTTGAGTTGAACCAAAAACTGAATTAATCAAAATATATATATATATATTTAATTACAAATATTAATATTAATATTAACATTGATAGCATATAAACGTTGGTTGTATTCGTGAACCATATAAAACATGAATGCAGTTATTATTCTGTAAATAACTAACTATTTAATGATGATCATGCGATCAAAATTGAATAGTCTTATGAGCACTAAAATTGATCTCACATCAAAGTTAGATAATGAAAATACATATACACATGAATCATAAAATTAATGCTCACAGATCAAGGTTCAAACTTTCAATGAACCACAAATAGAAACAACCTCTTTCACATTTTTTGCTCAAGAAAATGGTATTGAGGGAGAGAATTGGGAGGGAGGGGATAGGATTTTTAGACATGGAATATACGTCAGCCGGCCCGGCCAACAAAAAGCCAAACCACCCAGAAATTAGTGGATTGGGCCGGGTTAGAAATTTAAAGATAATAAAATTTTAGAATAATCACAAAAGATATTGGCAGAGTTTTGTTTTGATTTTTTTTGGGAAAAGTACGGAAACACACGATTTAGAATTCTAAATTCCAACACTGGCCCTCTCCCCCTATAAACCAAATCCTGCCTATGACTGGACTGGTATGCGACCATGCGTTATGCAAAGGTAGCAAGTCAGCGGGTGACCCGATATTCTCTTTGAGGGGTGGGAATAGTGAGCAAGGTTTTGGGGAAATTTTTTTGTAGTGGAAGAAAACGGATAATCAGAAGGTATTGCTCAATCGCGGTTGCTTAACGGTTAGTTAGTTCTAAAAACTGAACCCTAGATGAGATGACAGAATCACCGATCAAATCATCCCCCATTGACATTCCTGAAATCCCAGTTGAGATCGTGAGCGAAGAAGAAATGGCTCTCATCGAAGCTGCCTTGGCTGCTACTCGTTCTTCTCTCTCCTCCTCAGTTGCCCCGTCCTGCCCTTCTCGACTTTCTCTCTTATCTACAATTTCCTCCAGTCAATTCCAAAGTAATGCAAAATCAACTGAAACCATCACGTTTCATTCCAAAAGGCCATTATCAGGGTGTTCAGAGACCCAAACTATTAACGACGTCGAAGATTTGGGAAATTTAGGGCGTGCCCAGAAGAAAGTCAAGGTACCCAAATCGTTGTTATATCGATTTCGGAGGAAAAAGGGACTGGCGGTTACCGATATAACTTCCACGGTACGAATTTTTCCGCCACTTGTTTTCTCTTCTTTTTTGTTATTAACAGTTTAATTTGATTGAGATTCTTCTGTTAAGTAATGGACAGAAATTAAATTGATTGAACTGAAGTAATTTTATTTGTTTTTCCTTTTCCTGTTGCAAAATTTGGTATATAACTTAATGAAATGTGAAATGTCTTTTATCTCTTTGTTTGGGTCTATAGCATTCGTTGACGGTGATGGTATAGCATCTCCTATAGCTGCATATATTAGGTTTCCTTATTCATATTGTTTGTTGCCTCATGGAAACACCAAAGGTACGCGGGAAAACAAAACTTGAATGTTTGAAATGGCCACTATATTGACTGAACATAGTAAACTATAATGGGAACTTTGGGTTCAGATTTGCATTCATTCAGGACTTTCAAGTGCATATGATATCATTCTCCAGACAGGTGTTGGCCAAGCTTTAGATGAAGACACTTTATTTAATCGTATCCCATCTTTCCTTATTATTTCCTGGTCTTGAAGCATTTGTAAAGCTTGAAAAGTTTGGCATTTCTGTTCCTTCATTATCCTTTTTAAATATCTTTTGCACTGTTTTGGTCGATACAATGTACTTTTTTATTGTTTAGAAAAGTTAGCATAGGTGGTAGCATAAATTTAATTTTACAATTTCATTCAGTTCAATTAAAATTGATTTAATCAAGCTTCAATTTTCCTTTCTTGCTTATTTATGATAGTAGGAGTGGTGTGAAAAACAAATGGAATTTTCTCTCCTCCGTGGCAAGCCCAAAAAAACTAAAGCTATGGAAGCAGGCACTGCTCGACACGAGAAACTAGAAGAAGAGGTAAGCTTTCAAACTTAAAATAGAATAAAAATTTGTCTTGTGTTTGCACTACTCCATTGCCATTTTTCTCTCAGTTGTTTATCAGAAACTCATACTTATAAATCTTCAAGTCCTTTCCATCCCTAGCTTTAGAAATCGAGAAATTGATGGTACTATTTCTGTCATTCTGTGTGCTTCTTTTTCCATTCATCGCTAAATCTGATATGAGGAAACTTCATGGAAAATGCCATGTAAGTTAATAAATTTTCTCATTCAGGACAAGTATGCCATTCATCGAAATTACATGGGTTTCTGATTGATTAAAGTTTTTCAAGTATCATACATTTCTGGTATCATAGAAATTGTCTTTTTTTTTTCTTTTGCTAAGGTGTCATAAAAAGTGTAGTTCACCTTCACTTTTATGTTATTCCTTCATTGATGTCAGGTCATTGTGCAAATCAGTGAATTTTGTATTTTGGAGAAATGTAATCAAATCAAATATATAATTATAATTAGGAGCATAAGGGATGCATAAGTTTAGGGAGAGCAATTCCAAATATTGCCACCAATATTACAGAGCAATTCCAAATATTAGAACTATTCATAACACTAAAACCGACTAGTTAGTATGATACAGTATTGTTTGGTTATGCTTTCATAGGTATGCTGCACAGAGTATCTAAATGATTCTAAAATCTTATTTAGATTCCGAGTACAAGTAGAAGTGATCACAGACACATATTCAATTATTGATGTTACATATTATTAAACTTTCTTAATTACCGGTACCTTTACTTTTTTTTTATCAGTAACAGTAATTTTATTAAAAATATATGGAAATTACAACCAGATTGGAGGGGTAAGACATCTTAACCCTCACTTACAGACATCTTAACCCTCACATGACAAAACACCGTTACCTTTACTTTCAAAACATAAAATGCACATTTTCTTTCTTATATTTGCAAATGCTGTTGCTTATATTTGATCTTATATATAAGATGTAATATGTGATCCTAATATTGTCATGTGATAGGACAGGTTATTAAAAAAGTAAAAATTCATGTGAAGTCTGTTGAAGATATTTGGGCTTTGAAGCTCATGAACTTTATTGTTGGGGCAAATCAATTATTTTTTGAAGGAATGACCCGTGAGCTGCCGCTGTAAGTTGGGTACCATTGTGGTAATTTCTATTTTCATCCTTGGCTTTTGCTAGTAGAACTATTATCCAGTTGTTGCATGCCAATGCCCTTTTTGTGCATCAGTAATTGGATGAGGATTCAGTTGGGTATGGAATGGAATGTATTGCATCTGTATATCCGGTTGATCTTTATCTGTTGCTAATACGCATTTTTCCTTTATATTAGATTCTTTTCAGAAACGGACTTGGATAATGGATGATATGCAACATAAAGACCATCTAAACAACTCTAAAATTTCATTCATGTAAAATCAGTTTGGACCCTGTATCAACTGCTTTCTACTATGATCATATAACAAATGAACTAGGAGAAAAGAATATGGATTGATGAATATTGAGAGTCTGCTTTATTTCTCTGTTCCATTGCACTTAGAGGATGCCTCAGGCAATCCAAGCCAACCCAACTTTAACATGAATGTGCAAAATTTTTTAATATTATTACTACGACTACCATTGTAACAACAGTTTCTATTCTAGTTTGGTGGCGGCATGGTGCTAGTACTTCTTTTAAGTATATAACATGAGATCACTGGGCTGAGAATCTACTGCTGATTCTTTTGGTGGATTTGATTACAACTCAGTTTTTCAGGTTGTGCTTAAGTTGGATGCCAACCCCATCCAACTTGTCAGAGTTGCATCCTAGTTGGTGGGTAATCATTTGACTGGGTTGAGTTTCGTTGAGGGAGAGTATTGCCTAGGTGTGATGCATTAAATGGTTGGTTCCATTGTGTTCCTTCAAGCAAAGTAATCTTTTACTTGCACTACAAGTGCCCTTGTCTTCCCTGACAAAGTGAAAGGATGGGATTGGAAATTCCTTTGAAGTCAGCAGGTGAACCATATTGATAAATCATTCTAGGTGATTGATGGGTTCTAACTGCATGTTTTGTGCAAAATGGTGTTCAAGTTTCTTCCATTGCTTCAATAAGAATAATGGACCTTGGATTTTAACTTGCATTAATGCCAGATTTGGAACATTCTTGATGACTTTGTACTTGGCATTTCTACTGACAAGATTGATTACCCATTTAACATTTCAGGATAGGTTTTCTAGAAGGTGTGTGGACAGTCGGGGTAATTGATGAAATCCGAATGCCTTCAACCGGGAATATTAGAAATCCTTTATTAGTGGACACTAAAACTCGTTCTCAAGCTACACTTCCATCAGAAGCACAGAAGAGGAATGGAAGGTATGCACCTTTTTACCTTCTTTTTTATATACTTTTTTCCCCTCTTGGATGTGGATAGCATTTTTATCTTGAAAAATTGCTTGCTAATTTACTAGGATAATTTTTTTTTAATGAAGCAATCTCTAGTTTTTTGCTTTATTAGAAGCTGTTTATATCATAAGGATGACTTGGAAATTGATGAATTATGAAGTGTAATATTTTTCTGGCAGGCTTCAGTTAATGTGCTATAAGTATTTATGGGACAATGTAGTGAGCGATAATTTTCCCTCCGACCATTTCTTTGATTTCTTTCGGTTGAATCCTGAAATTACCTTATCCAAAGAAATTAAAGAGCAGACTGCTAGCTCGGGTTTCCCTGCACAGGTAAAGGATTTTCCCATCACCGATCAACGGTCTATTTCCATGCATTACAAGTTGGTCCTTTTCTTCATGTATCTGATACACACACACACACACACTTGGAGCCATTGTTGCTTGGACTCTCCTCAATGGATGATGCTTCCATGTTTGACACATGTCAGAGTCCAACAGCATGGATTCTTGAGGACAGTTGTATGTAATATTTCCTTTTTTTATCTCCTAAATTATTTGACATAAAAGATGATATACAATATAGATGCCACTTTTCATATCGAACTTTACTTGGTAACAAAGAAAAACATTTTAGACCCCTTTTTTATGGGATTTTTTTATTTATTTTATTTTTTATAAAAAATGAACTATTTTAATAGTATATACTTTTCCATGGACGTTCCAATGGGTCCATGTTTTCTCATCTTGTTGACTCAGACTCTTGGGCATGTGTTGGATTTGGACTCCTGTGTCTGGATCCATGCAACACTGACTGGAGCTTTTTTTTTTGATTGGAGCATAATTTTGAAAAGCTCAATATTTTAGTTGGCTGTAACTAAGAAGCTTATAAGATTCTTGAGCATTAATGTAATGGTAAAATCTCGTGTTGGCAAGCATGAGAATGTGGGTTTGAGTCTGAGGGCATCCACTTTATGCCAAAAAAAGCCAAAGGTTAGGACTGTACCCAGTTTACCCCTCTCAAGTCCCCAGATAGATGGGATGAACATTGGGTAGTGGCCTTTTTTAATTCTTTGTTTTATATCTTTTAAATTCTTGAGCATTGGTATGACCAATTTGATCTCCATAGTTGGCCTGGGCAGTGTCATTTTTGGGTTATGGTTGATCCAAGAGACAAAATGAATGAATTACATGGACCAATACATAAGTGCCAATCTACTTGACATCAAGTTGGTCATAAGACATCCCTTGTATTGAGGAGGTGTGGGTCTCCAAGTCGTGTGCACCCTGTTACTAACCCATTGACTGGGTCTATAGTGTTAGCACCTGGCCCCCTATGGGGGATAAAAGCTGCATCACCAATACCCCCCCCCCCCCCCCCCCCCCGCAAAAAAAAATAGAAGCATGTCGGTGGCAGACTAATATAACTTCAACAGTTTTATACTCATCTTTCTCCCTTTTTTATTCTTTTGCATGTACAGACCCTCGAAGAAATAATGGTGTACTTCAGGAATACATGCTGTTCACTTCCTCCAGCTAATGACCAGCTTCTGTTGAGGTGATAAAAATGTTTAAGACTTGTGACAATTTCTAACTAATTGCACGTCCTTTGCACCAAAATAGTGCATGGGGAATGGCACTATATGTGGATGCATGTTTTATAGCTTGCAGAATTGGATGCTTTAAAGGTTTCCACATATTTTCCGCATCATCTTTTTATAGTGAGATTCAGCCCAACGATCTTGGCAAGCAGCCCAAAGAGTTCTGTTCATGGGTCGTATCGTATGGGTATCGGTGTACCCAGATACATTTAGATACACCGATACACAGTTTTTTTAAACATTTAAAACATCCCAGTCCTCTTCCCCAACCCCCTGATCATTATAAAATAAAAAAGAAAAAGAAGAAAAATAAAAAAAAAGGTGAGTATTGGCCATATCAATATGCACTGATACCCATGTTTGGGTATTGGGCTATCAATGTTTTAGTCCTTGGATGGATCAATGGCATAGAGCTGATTTGGATGTGTATTATAAGATGGTCTATCCAGAAGGTAATCAGATTGCCAAATCAAGGGGTTTAGTGACTTGGTCTCCTGGCTGGCTGGCTACACCAAAAATCCATGTGGCTTAAAAAGGGTGTCCCTACTGAGATTATTTTTTGACTTGCCTCCTTAAGACCTTTGCTTTGTAATACACCAATGAGAATAATTTGTCAAATACTGGTATAGGTAAAATGTAAGCATTGAACCACTCCTATCCGGGTATATCTCCCATGTTACAAATTGACCATTCAAGTGAATATAACCATCTGAATATTTCAGTGGATTTTGGATGGTTATGAACATTTCAGTGGTTTTTTTCCCCAGGGTACTGTTAACTGTATGTTCCCTTCCCATGCATAAGATGAATGCTTACGTACAGTCTTTCCTTTAATGTAAAACCAGTTTTTGATTGGTGCAGATATGAATTCCAAGGAGACAATTCATTGATTGGTGAAGATGAATTCATGTACAATCCCGAGTGGGTGAAGAGTCAGATTCAGTGCTGTCTTGAGTTCTGGTCAGGAGAGAGAGAAGCCAGGTATGTTCTGGTTGAGGAGCGTTGGAAGTGTCGGTTTTGTAAATTTTCTTCCATGTGTCCTGCAAAAAGCACCTCTGATACTGTAGTGAACTAGAAAGCAAGCGGCGGCATTCTCTTCTCGTCTTGGTTCAATAAGCTTCCATGGTCTTAGCTCTACTCATCACCAGGCAAATAAAACTGCTGTGTGCTGGTAGGAGGCATGGCCAATTGCTTTTTCATTGAGGGTTGGTGAAGCAGATGGTGATGGATGGGGGCCTCCTGGAAGGACGAAGCTTTCTGTAAGAATAAATGATATTGTTGTATGAAGAATTTGAAAGCTCTTTTTAATCATGTATGTATAATCCTGTTCTGTTCACGTATGCTGGTGCAGACCTCTTTATGATTATGTTATTTATTAGGAATTCGATTTCAATGAAGAATGACATATAAGTAAACGGGTAAAACATACTAACTTAAATTTTGAACTAGTGCATCGGCATCGCATGGATGGCATTCTGTCGAGGCTTTAAACTCCAGAATCAAGTTGCAGTTTGAAGATGGATTAGAGAGGGGAATCGTTTTTAGAAGTAGAAGGCGATTCTGCCTCTCCCTTACTTTTTCTTTGTTGAGCATTTTTAAACTGCTTCAAGCAACACTGAATGCTAGAGTGCAAAACCTTGTATTTTGTATGTATTTGTACTCCTTCCAAATTGAACTGTAAGAGCAAATTTTGAAAAAAAAAAACCCATCATTGATATTTTTGCAATAAAAATGTTTTTACCCTTTTGCCTATGTGGTGCTTAAGCTAAAACCAAATGACAATATAAAATATGCAAAGAACCTGGAGTTATTTTAATGAATTTTAAAGCATGGTTGTCTGAAAAACGATATAATCTCGGTCCTTCAAAACAATGTCATTTTTATGTGTAAATTGCAATTCGTAATTTGTGTATAAAAAGAGTTGCATGGTATTTTCCTTTCCTTCTCTCCCCTCTTATTCTTTGTAAGCTATATTGTCTCATATGATTGAAAGTCGGATTTGAGCATTTTCGATGTGAGGTGAGGTCTTTTGGACCTTGAAATAAGCCAATCACCAAATGATGGTGGCTAACTGGCTCAGGATCAAATCCTATAGAAAAAAAGTCATTCAAGTAGGGCTTCAAATAGTATTGTGCGAATTTGAGTTCCATTAAAGAAGGTGATCCAATATAAATATATATTTAAAATTTACATACTATCTATCTGTGAAATTGGTTTTAATGTTGCATTTTTATTATTCATTAGAACAAAATTCATACAAGTTATTTTTAATTCATTTCGTTTGTAAAATATAATATTAAAGTCATTTATTAGTTCATTTTATTAATTTTATTAATAGGGTAAAATGGTAAATCCCTTGAACCTTTTCTGGGTTTTCCAAAAAGGCCTTAAACCTCCCATGAACTTTGATTTGCCCAAACCTCCTTTCACTTTTGGGGATAAAGGGACTTATAGACTCCACCTGTTAAACTTTAACCTTTAATTTTAAAGCTATTAGCAACTATTGATGTCATGGATTTAAACATATTATAATACTAATTTTGCCCTTATATAAAAATCATCGAATGTTTGATGACTGAAATACCCGGAGAAGTACAGGGGATGCATCCTGACTGTGAATTGATGCTAAATTCACGGGCAGGATATGATTTATAGGGGGGCAGAGGGCTAATAGTAGGGGGGCTGGAATTCAGAATTCTGCATCGTGTGTTTTTGTACTTCTCCCTAGCCTCTATTCCAAAAAAAAAACCTTAAATCTTTAGGCTATGCTTGAAAGGAGTACAAATACAAATATGTAAAGTGTAAAATCTTGTATTTTGTATTATTTTATTTGTATTTATACTGTACATATTTACATTTATACTCCTTCCAAACTGAGCCTTAACAAAAAAAACCCCTTAAACCTCTCTTTACCTCTTCATTTTACATTATTCTTTCTTATTTCTTATGAAAGGAATGGAAGGATTTGTTTAATCTACCTAAAACGGGTTTGTTTTTGTGGTAAAAAAAGTCAAATACTAAAATATATTTTACTCATATTAACAGTGCAAGGGTAAAGCTGAAATTAGCAAAATCTACTAACTTGATTACCGATTATTAATTGGGACAAAATCATAGACCAAGAACAGTCATGATTAATAGTTGTGCCAATCAGGTCTGACCCGATTAGACTCGACTATACTAATAGCTATAATTGTTTAAATAAATAGCAACCTAAAATTGGTTTTGGATAATATAATTTCAATAAATATGATAATAAAATAATAAATTATTCATATATTAATGAATCAAGTTTTTTAATCAAAGTTTATCTTATATATTACCTCTCGAATTTTACTTTTACACATAAAATATAAATACAATAAAAATATAAAAATTAGGAAACCTTTATATATTATTTACAAAATAATGGATTTGGGTCTGAGCTGAGCTGATTAGAACAAGTGAAAACCATAACCGATCCAATTATTAACTGGGACAAAATCACAGAACTAAAACCACTATAATCAGTTTGGTCAAGCTGGGTCTGTCAAATAGAATGTAATCAGAACTGACCGTTGACAGCCCTACTTAAATGTGATAGAAGGATATCTAGTATGTGTTTGGTTCCGTGGGCGTTTATAGATATACTATTTATTTGTACTTTTTCGTTTTAAACATTTATTTATATTTTTTCACTTTAAATGTTTTTTTACTTTAAACATTTCATGTTTTTTACCTAAAACATTTCATGTTTTTGTTGTTTGGTTGGGTTTTACTTTAAATATTTTTTATTCTCTACCTCATATTAATACCCATTAAAGTATGCCACATTAGCATTTGGTTTCAAGAAATGCTAGGGCATTGGGGGAAACAAGAATTTGACATTTTCCCAAATGCTCCATGCACAAAAATCAAAGCGTTTCAATTTTGTACCGTTTATTTGATAAATGGTGAAACCAAACAGTTGTTTCACTTCGCTTCATCTGCAATAAATGTCAATGCTTATGTGGTGCTGATGTAGTGGTGTTTTTTCAATAAATGCCCACGAAACCAAACACAACCCTAATTTTTAATTAATTCCATTACATTAGATCAAACTTGAATTTGAATATATATGGATTTGACTGTAATGCTGGAAAGACATGATATTAGAAGAAATTGTAACCAATCAATGAGCATCATAAAAATAGTAACCAATCAGATGAATCTTCATCAAATTTGCAAGGGTTGTGATTGGTTAAAGTCTTTTTGATATCATGTCTTTCCAATATCATAAGATTTTTCTCATATTGTATGTGAATCTGATTCTTTTGGGACGATGATAGAACTAAAGGCTGTGTTTGGAAATGATGCAAATAAATGCGAATGCAAATATATGGAGTGTAAAACGGTTCATATAAATTGTAAAATTAGGTTGGTTTTGCACTGACAAATTTACCTTCTTACCAAATAGAATTTTAACTACAATGGATGCAAACATGAATCATAATAAAACATACACTTTTTTTCTTAATCAAAAGCCCACTTGAATGCAAATTTACTTATTTTTTATTGATGTACTTTTAATCTTATTATCAATGTAAATATGCATTGATCTATCATTTGTCAATACATAAATATAATGTTACCAGACACTAAAAATAAACCAAAATACAAATTTACCCTGAATTAGGATTTACACTCATCCCGAAACGCAGCCAAAATGTTTTCTCAGAACCTCCCCATAGTCCCCATATCACAGGCGTGCAGAAGTCTTTTGTGTACGCGGGGTCGGAGGCCGCAGAAGTCTCTGGATTTTCGGGTCGGAGGTCCAGATTCCTGAACCGGATACCGATTTTTCTATGGGCTTTTAGTTTTAGGCTTTAATTTACCCAGAAGGCAAGAACCGAGACCGTAAGGAGAGATTGATTTTACCAAACTAAAACAGAGATTGTTCCATCATCAACTTCACTCACATCTCTAGCGTGAAATGGTGAGTTCACTCTCTTCTTTTGCGTTTTTCTTTTCTTCAATGTTGTATGTTCTGTCAATTTCATCTATCAGAAAAAAGTCGTATCGATTCTGGGTTCTTGTACTTAACTGTTTCATCTCCGTTTTGTTGAGTTTGATTCGTCTTAGAGGGTAGGTCATCTACCAGCGATCATTCCTATTCCTAGAAGGGGAAAAATTTAACCTTTATCACCTGTTTATCTATTTGCGGTGATGATTTCCGGGATGAGTGTTGAGTATTCTTTTGTTTAGGGTTTTTTTTCCCTGACTATTTACTAGCGGAGGCTCGATGACATTGAGTTAGGTTTTCATTAGTTTTAACGTAGCTATTCATTTTGTTTCGTTTGTGAAATTTATACACATGCTCACATAAAGATAGATGGGCACAAACACAAGAGACACGCACGCTTGACAGCTTTAAATGATTTTTTTTTGGGTGCAGAAAGTGCTTCTAAACAATGTGTTTTAACCGAATGGAATTTGTGCAAATTTGTGGGCTGTCGCTGAAAGATTGACAGTATGTTATACATGAAGCTTCTGTTTCTAAATATTTTTAAGTTCTTTATGAGGCTTGATATGGAATGAGATTTGAACACCTTGGAAAAAACATCCCATGGTTGAAATTTGGATGTTGAAATACATTACTGACAAAATTAGGGAGGATAAAATTAGAAATGAACCTATGATTGGAACCTAAGGTTGTTCTAATAAATTGTTTTGTCAGCTATTCTGATGAAATTGATGAGAATAAATGATTTGGTGCACCTTAAAAGCTTTAAAACGGTGAGGGAAGTCCAAAGGACATTGGCTGAAAGTAATGAAAATACTTGAGGACTTATGTATCTAGAAAGGATGAGCTGGCAAAGTAGACTTTGTCAGTTAACATGGTTCAGATGGTTTATCCTTCATCTGTCTTGAAAGCTGGCTTCTTTCCTATCTACTTTGATTGATTGAGAATTTTTGCTAATAAATTTCTTGCAGTAGTTTTGTATAATAATCACCCTTCTTAAGAGAGAGTAGATATCTATCCAATCTTCTTAAGTTGGTAACCTCTTGGTCATTAGGACCATATGAACCTTGTTCCTTTAATGGAAAATCTACTAGCCCCATTTCTCTAGTCAATGTTTTTCATACTTGTTGATGGTGCTATCATTCTCCAACATCTGTTAAGAATCTTTTCCAAAGCCTTTATAACATTATTTGTTTGCTCATTTCTATTTCATCAGAAAATATTTTATTTTTTGATCAGTATCAGAAAGCATTTTATTTTCAGTGGTTCATTCAGAAATATTACTAGTAGATGATATCTGATAATTAAATATCATTTTTTGTCATAGTACTTGTCAACTGATTTACTTGACAAAATGAATAGGGAAGGGGACTAACTTTAATCTAGGATAGATAGTACAGCATTCCTCTTCTCAAGGTAAGCATTGACACTGCAGTAATTTTAACGAGAATAATGTTGATTCATGTGAATCAGGCTTCACCATTTCTAGCTGGACTTGCAGTAGCTGCTGCTGCTCTTGCAGGAAGATATGGAATCCAAGCTTGGCAAGCTTTCAAGGCACGTCCACCCACACCAAGGATTCGTAAATTTTATGATGGTGGTTTCCAACCTACCATGACAAAAAGGGAAGCAGCTCTTATTCTTGGCCTGAGGTAAATAATTGGTTATTTTGAAGTGTAGTAGAGCAGTGTTTTAAAAGTGTAATGGCCATTTTGTGCCTGAGATGCAAGGTGAGGCGTGTGCCTTTTTGAATCAAGGCACAAAATTAAAAAACTCAAAAATTGCAAAAAAATGTAAAATTTCAATAATAAATTAAGAAATTGTTAAAAAAAGTATTAATTAAAAAACTGAAACCTTAATTTAAACTGAATGTTTTAAAATGCTATTAACTCAAATTATAATACATAAATATAACATATAAAACATATTTAAAATGTAAAAAGCAAAAATAATAACCAATCGAGGGCTGGCTCGTTGGTGTGTTAGCTGGGTTGTCCCAGCATTGATGCGGAATCAAATCCTGCAATCAGCACTTTGGGAAAAAAAGGGGGGTAAAGGGGGAAGGTATTGTTGATTAATCAAAAAAAAAGAAGCAAAAATAAAGTAAAAAATAGCATACAAAACATATTCAAGCATGCCAAACTTTTAATTTCTTTATTTCTCTCCCAATTGCATTATTTCAAATAGATAATGTGATTTTAAACATCTTTCATTCTTAATTCTACAAGCAACCTTTGTACCAAGCCCCTTGAGGCAAGCCCAAACAAGTCCATTTTAAGTTCTTAAATTCTTAATCCCTACAAAAAAATGGCTTTATAATTTTAATTATCTTCTAATATATATCTTTTATTAGGTTATAAATAGAAAAACAGTACAAATTTCGAAAAGGTGCACGTTCTGGCTGAAGTGCGAGACACACTAGGTGCACACCTAGGTACACCAGGTGCGTACCTTTTGAAAGTGCTGTGCCTGGGGCCTAGGTGAGGCACATACCTTAAAATGTGCCTTGCCTGAGTGCCTAGCGCATTTTAAATCACTGTAATAGAGTGAAGATTTAAATTCAATTATACCAGTATGAAAAAAACAAGATCCTTGGGTACAAATGACAAAACAAAAGGCTATGTTCTGTGGAAGCTTCCCTAGTTCACTCAATTAGGGAACTTTTTCTCCAGAAATACATACGTCGCATGTCTGTAATCTGTATAGTTCTTGATAACATTCACCAACTTGGTGGATTCACCTAACCTTGAATAGTCATCTTTTGCCTAACTAATTTAATTATTCTCTATTGTTAGTAAACAACATAGTTTTCGAGGCGCCAAGATGAACCTAGGTGACAGGAGGTGCCTTGTTGCCTAGTTGCATAGGAATGGATTTTTTTTTTAAATAAGAAACATGAATCCTAAGGTAGTTCCCTGGGTTCCATAGAGACCGGAAACCATCATTCATTAATAATTATCTATAATCTTCATAACAAATATAAACTTTCGTATTAAAGTATAAAAATCAACATACACATGAGAAGAAAAAGAAGAAACAATAGGAAATTCATAAAATATAGGGGCTGAGACCCTCTTTTTGTCCTAGGAAAAGAAGAAGAATATGTTGATTGGATAAAATTTCAAGTTCTTCCTTGCGTATTGATTCAGGTTTTAAAGTCTTTGAGGGGTCAAGACAGCATACACCGATACATGTGTCAGTTGAACCCTAGTAAATGAGAAAATAATAAAAAGAAGCTAGCATGTAAACATACAAAATGGATATTTTAGTTTAGAAATGCCTATTTTGTTATTATAATCTCAAAGATATGAAAGTATTTCATTGTGCCGTATACAAATTAGCTTGGTGATTAAGTGAGGCAACTCTCCATGGGCATGTTGTTGCTAGGTGTTGCCTTGACTACGATGGTAAACAGGTGGTAATTTACAAATTACATAGGGCAAAACATGTCAACAGAAAATCATTGGGTATCTTTTTGTAGCTACTAACTACTTGATTTTTTTTTTCATGAAGTGGCTGCTCTGAGACTTCAACATTCTCATGCTTTCCAATCTGAGGTTTTATAATTATACCAAGCAATGGTCCATATTACGAAATTAGCACAACTCCAAATAACCAGTTCAATGCTTTCTTATTTAAATATCCTTGTGAAGAGGGAAATTCATCCAACAGAGGGAGCATTTGATGAATTGGGTGGACAAAAATGCCCAGTGAAGGATTAGCATGCTCACCTATGTGGTGAAGGTTTGAAAATTCTTATATATTCAAGTGGTAGCTCTTTTTTTTTCTTTATTTTTGGTATTCCAGTGTTTGGGTCAGTCTGTCAGTACGAGTTAGCGGGATTCACGGGTAGGGAACCACGGAGAGCCTGCAATTCTTTGGGTTTGATCCCATGCCTCCTCTTTTGGAGTGGTGTTGAGTGACCATCTCAACCATTGGATCATCAACATTTAAATGTTAGGTCAATTGATTATAAAAAAACTCTGCCAGTAAGCCTGCCTTACAGCACTGGTCCGAAGCCTGGATAGAGAAGGGTTGCATCAGAATGGTGGACGGCACAAAAACTTTTCCAAATTCTCATGATCACGGATGTCAACTCTTTGCAAGGCAGCTTTCTGAGTAGGTAAATAGAAAAAGTTCTTATTTTTTTGAAAGGGAAAGTAAGAAATTTATTGATAACAGATGAAAATATTACAACAGCTTCCCGGTGGATCTCACCAGGGAGAAAGCCAGCTTACAAATTCCATGCAGATTGAGAGCAAAGCAGCTGAAAAAGTTCTTTTACCCGGAAAAAAAAAACAAAAAGAAGTTCCATCAACACTTTTATCAACTTTTCATTAAATTTGCCTCGGATTCAAATAAATGGTACGTAGTAGCAGCGTGGATGTCAGCATGTTAGCATACTGACATGTCAGCATGTTATCCATGATTTTGAGAAATGGAGAGGTGTTTATATGTCAGTATCCTCATCTGCATCCCTATCGAATGTAATAAAACAAACTCCTATATTACTTCACCCGTTTTGTGCTTCAAAATGGTCAAACACTCGAACCATACTGTGTAGATATGGCAGTTATTCGTTATGTAAAATTTTCAGCTCGTTTCAGTCTATTTCTGACTCTTAACACATCCGACCATTGCACCTTACAGCAGAAGAATATAACCAACTTTTGCACGCGTGTGTGGGTGCATGTTTTATTTATTTATTTGTATGCCATGACAGGGAAAACGCAACTCCAGAAAAAGTGAAGGAGGCACACAGAAAAGTGATGGTTGCAAATCACCCAGATGCAGGCGGTAGTCATTACCTCGCTTCTAAAATTAATGAAGCAAAAGATGTAATGCTGGGAAAGACAAAGGGAAGTGGTTCTGCATTCTGATAAACTGGAAAATCCATACTGCAAGACCCTTTTGAAAGCTTGGATTATGTCCTCTGTGAAATTTGCAAATTAACGTGGTGGCTTCTTACGCTTGGGGAATTTTTTTGGTCATGGCATTAAGAAATTCACAACTCTTCATTGGAGGAATACCATTTATATTTGGTTTGGGGGAAGATTTTGATGGAATGGGATGGGATGAGAAATAGAAAATGGGTGTAAAATTTTTACGTTCTATTGTTTGGTTGTAAAAGACAAGTAGTGGGAGCATCAGCGCCAATAGCATTACTAATTAAATGAATAATTAATTAACATTTTATTTTAATTTTTATTAGTGAATAATTTGCTATTATCTAATAATTAATTATTAATATATTATATTAATAATTTACTTTTAATTTGTTAACTAATTAATTTAAACATTTTAGTTTTTATTAAATAATTAATAATTTATTAATGGGTCACTGTCTAATATTAATTCTTAAAAAATACAATGGAAATCTTTTTTTTAATGTTAAATAAGTTTCACTCACTTTTTCCACTTTTTTCACACCAAAATAATACTGATTTCACTTCCAAAGAATTGAGAGCTGCAATCCCACTTTTTTTTCTATCTCATCTTAAGGCATGTTACAAATCAAACATTGGAAATGAATAATATTCAATAATATTCCCTTTTCTTTCCACAATCCAAATGCAATTTGGCTTGGATTTTCGTAAAGAAATGCCAAGAGATAATACAGTGTGTGCAACTGGATCAAAATATTGATACACTTGATACTGTCAAGTGGGTATGAGACTATCATATGGATGATACTCATTTGTTTTTGTTTTTTCTTTTTATGGGTATTAAAGAGATGGTGACAGTCCTAAAATTTTGAAACCCCCAAACCTTTTCTGTATTGGTGTATTGTGTTGATGCCAAGGTTCAGATACGGGGTAGGTATGGAAATTGGGTGTCTTGTCTTTTTAATGTGTATCGGACCTGTATTGGACTGTATTGGGGGTGTATCGAGGGCGTATCTGGGGTGTATTAGTAGTGTATCGACAAAAAAATATGGTTAAAAACTGAAAAAATAAAAGGGGAAAGCAAGCTTCATTTTCTTGAAATAAGCCTTCTTTCACCATCAAATGACTTTAAAACTCCAAATCTCATTATTAGAGTGCTAGATTTGCTAAAATTTGCAAGAAACAAGTGTGAATGGTTACTTTTTTTGAAGATTTTTCAAATTTTGAAAAAATATGGCAAAAATAGATGTGTTTTTTTTTTTAATTTTTTTTATAATATCTTGTGATCTCTTTTCTTTTTCTTGAATGTTTAAATTTATGTTGATCTACAATTCTTACATTCAAAATCACATTTTTTTTTTTTGTTTTGTCAGTAGATTTATGGAAATTTCATGAAGATATTTGGGGAAAAAATAAATTAACAAAAAATTTGAAAATGTAATTTTTTTTCTTCCTATCAAGACTAAATATTTTTTAGATCTATGGATGATATATCATATCTATAGAGCAACTGAAATTTCTTATTTAATAACTATTTATTTTTATTTTTATATTATTAGAATTAAAAAATAAATAAATAATTAATTATATTTTATCATTTGATCACAATGATTGAATATATTATAATTCTATGGATCATCTATCATATCCACAAAGCAATTGAAATTTCTTCTTTAATAACTATTTTTTGAATATATTATATAATGTTTATTTATTTTTTATAGTTTTTGGAAATAAATAATAAATAAAAATTATTTAAATAATAAATAATTATTAATTATATTTTCACTAAAGTTGAGCCAATGTATGTTTTATGGTTGGATAAGAGAGTTGGGTTTTCCCATTCCATAAAATATTAAAACTTAAGAATTATAATTTATAAATTATAGTTAACCATGGGATTTTTAATGAAATTATAATTAACTAGAATATATTTCTTCATAAACCATTAATATCTTTTTTTTTTTTTTGGTTAATCACCCATAACTTTCCCTTTTACCCTCTTTTTTCCCCAAAGTACTGGGTTGCGGGACTTGATTCCAAGTCAATGCTGGAACAATCCAGCTAACACACCAATGAGCCAGCCCTTGATTGATTGTATCTATGCGTATCTTAGTTGATGCAAATACACCCCATATTTTGAACCTTGGTTTATCTCCTGGGCTGCTACGCCATATTGCATAAAACATTCGGCCGATTATTAGCACGCCAATTTTATGTTGTGAGCACTGCGTAGCGCTTCATCTTGATCATTCCTAGAAGCAAACTGCCTATTCTCTCTTTTTAGAACATAATGCTGCATTAGTAGAAATGGGAAATGTGGACAAATTGACACATTAAGATATTACGTATTTTGGATGTAACAAGTTGTCGGCTTTTTCTGTGATTTTGATTTGTAGGCATGGATCTGTGCCGCTTTAATGATCGATCGAGCCATTTAAAGTATGGATGTTCTGTTGAAGTATGCCGTTATTGAACAACTGACACTGTAATGCTGTATTTTAAACTTTATTAGAAGTCTCAAATTCCCTCTATTTGAATAATGCCAAAGTTCAAAATCAGACACAACTAGTATATCAAAATTATTTCTGTACAAAAAAAACAAGATTTCATGGACTATTAGCAAAATCATGAACAATTATATTATAATTTAAAAAAATGAAATTTGATTCATAGCAGCAGCATCAGCAGAAGTTCCAAACTATATCAATTTAATCTAATAATATAATCAGTTCAAAGTTTTTTTTTTCCTTTTTTTGGTAAACTCAGTATATGAAAATTTCTCAAATGATTATCAGCTTTTGCAATTAAACCCCATCAAATGAACATCAATCTATAGTTATATTAAGTGCACACTTGCCTTTGTTTCAGATTATAAAAATTAAATCCAAATACCATAAATCATATCTGGTTTAGTACTTATGCATGTGCTCTTATACTATGTGCAACGCGTGTGCCTTGGTGCTTGTATTAGAACAAGAAAAAGTGTTAATATCAAAATACACTATGGAGATAATGCCATCTACCGAGAAATTGTTATTCCTTTTCTCCTAAAAAGGATGGCCAGAAAGTGCCTGTTTCTTTATTCCTTCAACTCTTTTAATAGTTTTTTATAAAAATTCTCTATTTCCTTACATTTTCCAAATAACAAAATTTGTCCTTTTCTACATGACAAAACGTCTGTCAATATCAAAATTCCAAACCATTATTACAATTGAAAGTACATTAAATAATGTTAATCCTTTTTTCTTTCTATTATGTAACCTCTTTGTTTTCTTGCAGATACCATCTGATAAAATCTCAAGTAGGGATAATATGTAAATTACATGATCAATGATGCATTATTTAGTAGAAAAGACTTATGCCGTAAGAGAAGGCATGGGAATAGGAATCTTTTCTTATTCTCTGATAACTGAATTCCCCATTTTTTTTCTTTTTCTTTTTTTTTTTTCAACCCATAGGAACCTCATTTAGTACTACGATTATATGTCAGGTAGAGTAGCAAACAATGGAGAGAAACGAAGATATGGAAGCATTTATTTTTATCCTATAATAATTTTGCAAAACGTACACATCTATAAGATAGGAGGATTTGTAGTTCCTAACAAAATTCCCCCACTTCCCTTGACACCTTTCTATCCATATCTGCAAAATCCAAAGAAAAAGTGGTTCCAATTGCTGAGATAACGTCACTGATACAGGACCTTAAGCAGGCAGCACAAAACCAATTGATCAACACCCAGACGTTATATAAACTTGGCAACTCAATAAAATTCCAATGGTCCTGATACAGTGGTAGATGGGTCTATCTCAATGCGAGTTGCCTTCCCCTCGGAAAGGAGCTGTGGTAGCGTGTTGGCTTCCTTGGCTGCAACTCCCTCTCCAGTCCATAAAGTGACATGGGGCCATTGGTTTTTCGACGTTATCTTCTCACCATTAACAAAGCCAAGGTGAGCTTCGAATGCAGCCAATTTATCAGAAAAGAGAAGTGCAGTCAGATCAACAGGGACATTTTGGTGGAGGAACACGCCATAACTGGCAACAGCAGTGACACCATGGCTCCTCTTATGAGCAAGAGTCACATGAGCCTTCTTGAGGGAGTTCTCCAAATCTTTATCCTTGAGAAAACCTTCCACCTGGGGATACTGCTCCTTTATCTACATAGAGATGAGGACAAGAGAAAAAATTGCAGTTATTTTTTGATATTCCCATTAGAACTGGGAAGCAGTCACCACATACACCTGCCATGTAAATGATACTAGGTCGGAAAACCTAACGCTAATTTGAACACCCCATGAAGGCAATGGACATAAGTACTAAGGTCTGACCATAAGAACTAAGCCAATGCAACTTTTATATCTCTGATTCCAAAGGGGCGCGGGGGCTGTGGAGTTGAAGGATTTCAGACCAATAAGCTTAATTTGTAGTCCTTACAAATTATTAGCCAAGGTATCATCGAAAAAACTCAGAAAAATGTTGCATGAGGTTGTAGGAGAAAACCAGATGTCTTTTGTGGAAGGTAGACAGATTTTGGACAGAGTTCTAGTGGCAAGTGAATGTATTGACTCTAGGTTGAGGAGTGGAAAGGCAGGTTTGGTTTGCAACATAGACATTGAGAAGGCCTATGATCACGTAGAGTGGAGGCTTTTAGAAGAAATTCAAAGACTAATAGGATTTGGTGAGAAGTGGAGAAGCTGGATGTTTCCTTGTGTATCTTCAGTCTCATTATCAATACTTTTAAATGGGATATCATTGGAATTTTTCCACTTTCTCCCATGCTTTTTGTATTGGTAATGGAGATGCTGAACATGCTGTTGGAGAAAAGTGTTCAGTTGGGTCTGATAGAAGGGTTTCAAGGTGGGTGGAGATGGTCCTTGTAGCTGATGACACTTTGATTTTCCTAGATGCATCGGTCGAGCAGGTTTTAAACTTGAGAGCAATTCTGGCCAACTTTGAACTGTTAACAGGTCTAAAAGTGAATCTGTCCAAGAGCATGATGATTAGAGTTGGGGAAGTTGTGAGGGAGGTGTTAGTAGAATGTGCTGAAGCCTTTGAATGCAGAATAGGGGAGCTTCCATTTACTTATCTGGGTCTGCCGATTGGTGGAGTTTCGAACTCAAGTGTCGTTTGAAATCAAATTGTGGAGATTGAAAAAAGATTGGATGGTTGGAAAACCAAATATCTTTCTTTAGGGGGGAGAATAACTTTAATCGGAAGTGTTCTCTCAAATTTACCAACCTACCACATGTCCTTACTGAGGATTCCACCTTGGGTGGCTGAAAGGGTAGAAAAGCTTATGAGGGATTTCTTATGGAGAGGTGTGGGAGGGGATAAGAAGTTTCACCTGGTAAAATGGGAGAAAGTATGTAGGCTAAAGAAGAAGGGAGGTTTGGGGTTCAGAAGAATGAGGGTCTTCAATAAGACCTTGGTGGGTAAGTGGTTGTGGAGGTAGGAAAATTCACTGTGGAGAAGGGTGGTGGTGGGGAAATATGGGGTAGTGAGATTTGGGTGGGAGTCAAGGGAGGTGAGGGCTTCTTATGAGGTGAGTTTATGGAAAGGGATCATGAAGTTCAACCAGGAATTCAAAAATCTGACAAGCTTTCTAGTAGGAGACGGATCAAGGAATCAGGTTTTGGGAGGATGATTGGAGTGGGATAGGCAAATTGAATGAGCTGTGCCCAAGGCTAGATAGGCTGGCTGAACCTGAAGTTTCTATCAGCCTGTGTTATGAAAGGAGAGGAGATCAACTGGTCTGGTGCCCAAAATTCAGAAGACCTTTATTAGATAGAGAGGTTGAAGAATGCAATACATTATTGGAGAAATTGGAGGAGGTGAGAGTTTCATCAGCTCAGTCAAGGGGTGAATTGGAGTATGGGGAAATCGGATCCCTCCCAGGGTTGAAGCATTTGTATGGTTGGTGGCGATGGATAGTATCTTGACTGCGGATCATCTGAAATCCAGGGGTTTCAACTTGGCTAATATGTGCTTCACGTGCAAAGAGAAAGAGGAAGATGTTAGCCATTTATTTTTCTCATGCAAGATCTCTGGATTTTTGTGGAAGCTGTTTGCTGCCATGTTTGGAGTAAGAGACTATAGTCCAGTTTCTCCTGCTGAGATCTTTTCTTCATGGCCAAAGATAAAAGGAAGCAAGAAAGCAAAGGTGGTATGCAGCTGCATTCCATTTGCAATCTGCTGGAATATATGGAAGTAAAGCAAAGGTGATATGGAGCTGCATTCCATTTATAACCGCACAGTGTGGATAAAATTGTGGAAGCTGTCAGCAAATCTGTTGCAGATTGGGTATTAATATTACCAGAATTTAGACAAATCACAAGGGAGGATCTTGGGGTTTCAAATTTGTAATGTGGAAAATATCGGTTGAAGGCTTATTGTAGTTTTTTTATGCTGTCGTAAGTGGTGAATGGTGATACCTTATCACCTTTTGGGATGTTTATTTTTCTTTCTTTAATGAAATTTTATTTTACCTTCAAAAAAAAATCAGTCACAGACAGGTTAAATAAATTTGATGCTGCTCTCCCCAAGTTTATCTCAGCTCCTTAAGGCCTTGTTTAGTATCATTGCAATTTTCTCAAGAAACCGCCACGCCTTGGAATTTGTTAAAGTACCCCAGGTTCTATGCATATTTTATAATATTATTTGGTTCTAACTAGACACCATTAGGTGCAGCATAGGCAAAAAGGAGAAAACATTTTCTCCATTGCAAGAAATATCAAAATGACATTTTCTCTAGAAGTTGTTTTCAGTTTTCACATAACCCAAGGTAGGGGTGTTACTTGAAACAGTTTGAAAATGCTTAAAAAAACTCAATCAAACATGAAAAAGTAGAAAGGACAAAATGCCTATATGGCGCTGACATGGAGGAAACGACAATGATAGCAAATACATACTAGATTTCAGATGTAAGCATCCTTCAAAGAATTCAACTAATGGATATGTAATCAGTGAATGTCAACCTGAGAAAAAAAAATCAAGCCTTAATACAATGATGGGTACTGGGTATGTGTCCATCAGTAGGGTCTTCGAAGGACACTTGTGTCATTAATCAAGGTGCCATTTTTTGTTTTTGCTTCCCCCAACACACAGACATAAGAAAAAGATGGTTCAAGTTCAAACTTGGAACTTTCCAATATTGAGGCCCAGACCCAGAACCTAGTTCATATATATATATATATATGGATTTGGACAGAAAGGCCATTGTAAAGGCTTTGGTTATGAGTCTAAAGTTGCAGTAACCCCTAGTAGGTCCAGATAAGCAGCTTGTGGGGCTAGGCCGTTGATGCTCCTAAGATGAACTAGTAAACAAACAGTTGAACACCTTCCAGAAAAATGCAAAGAACAAAAGGTTCAGTTTTATGGCTTTAGCCTATTTATAAGAACATATAGAAAAGGAATAGTTACCTTATCCAGAAGGCTCCTGATTTCTGTAACAGGTAGAGTGACAGCTGCAAAGACAATTGTCCCAAACTTTCTCTTCTCGGTAATCGGTGTTGTACAATCACCTCCTGCAACAGCTTTTAATTGCTCCAGTGCTTGCTTGACAGCATAATCAAATGGAACCTGGAAAGGGACAACCCATGCAGGAGGTACACAATCAATGATAACAATGTACTGGCACTAGAAAAAACCATAATGTTGAAACCATTTGGTTGGAACGATGTGGTTTACTTTCTTTTCTATCCTGT